AGTTAAGCCTTCAACATACAGATTTTGAGGAAGACTCAAATACTCAGTCCATAGCACACCTACTCTGGGTACTTTTCTGACCAATGCCAGGGAGCTGGACTGGGCATTACAGTGTAGAGACTCCCCTATACTAAGAACAGTGGGAGAGGCAGTGGGAAACATAAAGCTATTAAGGTGTCAGGCGCTTGGAACAAGTATACTTCTCTTTAAGGAGTTTACTGCCTGGGAAGCCACAACAAATCTATGAGAAGCCAAGTCCCCACAACTTAAGATTGAAACAATGCTTCAAGGCCCCTAAGCAGATGCCCTAGTGCACAACAGCTTAGCAGAACCATTTAGTGAGGAAGGCTGGTTCACCACATCTATTTTGTACCGAGCACACTATGATTATCCAAGCTAACAAATGTTTCTCATTAAGCTAAGAGCAGTTTCGACACTAGAGAGTGGGCATTCTTCCCACAAAATGAGGTTAAGAGTAGGGATGCAGGGGCTGGAGAGATGGTTCAGCAGTTAAGCGCGCTGACCACTCTTACAGAGGACCCAGACTTGATTCCCAGCACCCACATGGCATTCTACGAACCGTCCTTAACTCCAGTTTCAGGGGAATCCAAAGCCCTCTTCTGACCTCCGCAGCATCGCATGACACGGGTGCACTCACATACATGCAGGCAATACACTCATACACATAAAATAAAATAATTTTTTAAAAAAAGAATAGGGATGTATAGCTGTTCTATGTGTGACTCGGAAACCAATACACATGTCCATGTGCGCACCAAATGCCTACAAGGAAGGAAAAAAGAGGGGAATGTATTTGCGGTCAGTCTGATGATGCGCCTTGCTCCAGGGACTGCAGAGATCTGGCAGGCTAGGGTTGGCCAAACTTTACACATAGTCACATGCTCTCTTATTCCCAAGTACCAGCTCAATCCAGAATTGGCTCTGTACCTCTGATCCCAGTTAAGCTTAGCAAGGAGTCTCTAGCACACACCCCCAACACACACACACACACACACACACACACACACACACACTCTCATACACAGTCCACAGCAAGTGTCCACCTTGTGGTAGTTTCTGAATGTCTACTCAACACTAATGTGCACCCTGGTAAAGAATCAGGCAGGACAATGTTCCAGGTACTTACTCCATGAAAAGGACAGACTGAAATGAGGTAAAAGGGGATAAGTCCGTGCCTTAGTTAATCCAAAACATGCGATATCCAAAGTCAGGTGACAGAGAGACTTGTCAAAACAGACAGTGTGATCAGGATACTCCCTGTTACCAGAGACTTTACTTTGAAAGGGTCTGAGTCTAGCCTCATGATCTCAAGCAAATCATACCCTCCTCAGTCCTCCTTTCCCTCATCTGTAATAGGGCATTGAACCAGATCGCTGAGTTTAAGAATAGTTTACCAAGAAATTCCAGTATCAGTTTTCATTAAGACTCAAGCAGGCAAGCATTTTGAAAAAGTCTAACAAAGCCACAGCTTCTCCAGAGAAGACTGGAAGATTCTTTAAAATAAGAACCACATGATCATACAGTAAGAGAAATCACTGGTTTTTATTCTCTTTTTAACCCATTTGTCAGAAGAAATGGCATCTGCACTGCTATATACAACTAGCTGAGCTCAAGCAGGATTAAATCTTCACCAGCCTACAATGTTCCCTTGGAAATCAGGGTCCCCCCTGTGGGTGAACAGCCTATTGTGAAGCATCAATGCTTCACGGGAAATCAATTCACGTGAAAGGAAAATAACTGCTATTATCACCATAAAATTCTACTCCAGCAGCTCAGAAGAAATTACTGTGAACTGAAGTTCACCTTGTGTGTATATATGCATGTGGACCAGAAGTCAACACTGGATGTTTTTCTCAGTGAGTCTCCATCTTTCTTTTTGAGACAGGGTCTCTCAATGAACCTGGAGCTCCCCATTGGCTAGACTGGCAGGCCCTAGGGATCCTCCTGGCTCTGCCTCTCCAGCAACGGGATTACAGATGTGCAGCATCCCACCCTGGCTTTTACCTGGGCTCTGGGTCCCCATGCTTACACAGCAAGTACTTTCCCAACTAAGTCATCTTCCCAGCCCCTTAAAATTCACTTTAAAAAAATACACCCTGGCTCCAAAACCCTACATTTCAATTGCTCCTTTCTTTTCAAAGCTTTGCCTCTTTCCATTTCCATCATTTCTATCAAGCCAACACTTGATTTCAGGTATTCTCTGTTCTCTAAGTTTACATGTAAAATAGTACTGGACGAATAGTCGTGAAGCCAATGAAATCCACAAGTAAATCTCAGTTGGGTCAGTAACTCACATGTGGATGTATTTCCTTAAAAAACAAACAAACAAACAACAGCCTGCACACACAAAAAGACAGGTGCAATAATATAACCAACTCTGGCACAACTATGACCCAATCCAAGAGACAACAGTGGAAGGCCAGGGTACCCACCCCGTCCACATTCCTGCCTTCAAATCAGAGGTAACCATCACCCTGAATCCAGGACTTGTCATCCTCACACAGCTCTCCAACTCCCTACACGACGCAGCATATATCCTTATGATCTATATCGGCACTTCATATGAACAACTTATTTTTTATAAGATTTATTTATTTTGGGGCTGGAGAGATGGCTCAGTGGTTAAGAACACTGACTATTCTTGCAGAAGACCCAAGTTGGAATCCCAGCACCCGCATGGCAGATAACAACTGTCCGCAACTCCAGTTCCAGGGGATCTGACAGCCTCTTCTGTCTTCCTCGGGCATTGCACAACACAGGTGCACTTACCTACATGCAGGCAATACATGCATACACATAAAATAAAAATAATAAATATACTTTTTAAAAAGATTTATTTTGCCGGGCGTGGTGGCACATGCCTTTAATCCCAGCACTTGGGAGGCAGAGGCAGGCAGATCTCTGTGAGTTCAAGGCCAGCCTGGTCTACATAGTGAGTTCCAGGACAGCTGGGACTACAGGGAGACCCTTTCTCAAAAACACCAAAAGAAAAAAAAGATTTATTTTAATTTATGCATGTGTCGTGTTAGTGTATGTCATGTGTGTGCAAGTGCCCCTAAAGGCCAGAATAGGGCATCTGATCTGCTGCTATTACAGTCAGTTGTGAATAGACTGATGTGGGTGCTGGAAACAGAATTCTAGTCTTCTGCAAGAGCAGCAATTGCTCTTAACTGCTGAGCCATCTCCCTAGCTCCTTAATCTTCACATAAATGGTGTCATTCTGCAACTTTATCTCTTGCTCAGTTTTGTGACTGTCACACAGTGACACACAACAGCTCTTGTTTCTTTACATTCACTATCCATAACATTCCATGATATGACTATTAAGACTATAACACATATCTGGTCAAAGATTGTATCTAATGCTTTATATGGCTGCCAGGTAGTACTTACAATGCACCAACCATTTTCTAGAACCCTCACAGCCTCTCAATATGGAAGACAAGATTCACACTAGACCAAAACAGGAACTGGACAGAGAAGTGGTAAAATGTGTCCAATACGTTTGAGAGGTAGACTCAGGCTGCAAGTTCAAATCCGTCCAAGTCTAAAGCCAGGCTCCTGACATTAAGCTCTGTAACTCCATCTGGTAGATACTGCCATCACTAAGACTTTTTAAATGAAAGAACTGGTAGAAAGAGACAGAGCTTTAAAGTCATCTGAGAAAATCTGAAACAGGAAGCACTATTTTCTTTTTTAACAAACAATTCCACCGGAAATTCATCGTGTCCACGTGTACAGTAAAGACAAACCTCTGCCTTTGACAAAAGTCCCTATGAACTCTCTGGGGTCATTTCCAAGTTTACAGATGCTGTTACCTCAAGTTGAACTGCAGGCTTGCTTGGCTTCCTTTGGAGAAAGGCTTCTTCACCCATTCAGAGAGTGGAGAGAGAGGCCCAAGAGACCATGGGAATCAGACTCTGCTCCAATTGGTAAAAGCTGAGTCGACAAAAACTCCAAGAAATGACTTCAGGGAGCAGCTCCAGCTCACAAGGAACAGCTTCCTGCTCACAAGGCCAGGCCGCTTGCCCACTCAGCTCTCCATCTGGCCAGCTATGACAGAGCTGCTGCTTCAAGCCCAGCCCTGCTGCTCTGGAGAAAGCCCAGCTTGCAATACAGAAAAGAAGCCAGAAAGAAGAGAAAGGGTGGAGGCTCACAGGACCACGCAGAAGCAAGGCCCAGGGAACAGCAGCAGCCCAGCTCTAAACAGGCCAGTCCCTAGAAGAAGACAGAGTCTAGCCCTCTAGAACTCCCAACAAGGAAAGCCACCCAGCATCAAGGCTGCCATGCCTCTAATACTCAGTCTCTGCGGGGAAGGGCTAAGGAGGCAATAACCTCCTCCCACCCACCCTGGTCAAAATACAGAGCAAGGAAACAGACTCTGGTGCTTAGCTTACCGGCTGTGTAAGCGTGACTGGAGCATCCCTGCCCGCTCTGGAGGGGGCTGTGTCGGACCTATCTCCAGGGGTCCGGTCCTGCCCTGCCCTGCCCTGCCCTGCCCTCACCTGCCCCTGGCTACAGCACTAAATGGACCAACATCTACTGAGCAGTTCAGTGCAAATCGCTTCATCTCAGCAACCCTTATGGGGTAGATATTACTACCGTCCCCACTTTACAGAGCAGACAGATTAAGCACATACCCAAGGTCACACTCAGTCATAAAGGCAGGGATGGAGGATGGAAGGCTACAGTTGCGGGAGAGATGCCCAGGGGGAACCCAGGGAAAACACCGAGGGAGACAATGGGTCAAAGTTAAGGGTCTGAGTAGGCGAGACGCGACTGGGTAAGCCCCTGGCCTCACTAGGTAAAGGGCAAGAGATAAGAATGAGGAAGGAATCAGAGGGCGCAGTGGGGAAGGGAGGGTAGGATGGAACAACACAAGACAGGGCAGGACAGGGCAGGAGCATGTCTTCGGGGACCGCAGGCAGGTGGAAGGGAAAGTTGCAGGCTGGACTGCAGCGGCGGCGGGATCATCCCACCTTGAGCACCGTGACGGCTCCCGCGCTGTGCACCTGGAAGTGCGCGGGCGGCTCGGCACCCGGCTCCGCCTCGTCGGGGCCCTGGTAGCTGAAGCAGGCGTCGGCGATGTCCAGGTGGCCGAGGGGTAGCGCGTCCTGCGGGCTCTTGAAGTAGTAGAGGTAGCAGCGGCGCGCGTCGAACACGAACCAGCGGCTGCGGTACCCGCGCAGAGGGCCCTTGCCGGAAAGCTTCTGCAGGTACCCGCACAGCCGCGCGGGCTCGCGCCCGGCCGCCGCCCCAGCCTCCGAGCCCGCTCCAGGCGCCGCGCCCTCCACGCCACGGCCTTCCTCCATCCGCGCCCCGGCTCCTGGCATCGCCCACCCAACGCCTACCCGCCACCCGCGCCAGGGCCCGCACCCCGCGCTGCCGTAGCTGCTGAGCCCCCTCCCCACGCCGCGCCCTCCGCACGGCTGCGGCACGCGGAGCATCCTGGGACTTGTAGTCCCGCCCCCGCCCGGCCCCCGCAGCGTAGCGCAAGCGGGGTTCCCTAGAGACCCTGTGTGGGCTTTGCGGTGGCCTCCATTCATCTCTGGGCTTTTAGTCCCGCCCTCCCCTGGGGAGCAAAGTTCTTCTTTTACCTTGATTTCTCAAAATCCATGGAGTGTCCCCTTAAAACTGCATTGCCCTCTATATAAACCTTGATTTTTAAATCTGCACCCAATCAGAGTCACAGGCTGATACTGAGAAAATGAGAGTGTCTGTTGCCTGGTACTGAGTGGGTGCTCAGTAAATATTTGTAGAATTCATGAATGAAAGCCAAAGCATTTGCCGCCTCTCCACACCCTAGTTCAGTCACTGAATTAAACAAATATTTATGGAAGGCCTGCTGTGTAGGGTTCAAACACTGGCTGACTCGGCAGTGACAAGCCCATGACTTCCTGGCCCTTGTGCGGAATATGTTCTAATACAGTGAAGCAATAATGCACACATTTAAAAAGCAGATAAAACTGGGCCGGGTAGCACATGCCTTTAATCCCAGTACTCCGGAGGCTGAGGCAGCCAGATCTCTGTGAAATCGAGACCAGCCCTCTCCATGTAGGCCAGGTTCACGTAAGGAGTTCCAGGCCAGGTGGGGCTACATGGAAACACTATCTCCAAAACAAACAAAAAAGCAGATAAAACAATTGCTTTGCTGCACAAATTGCTACTATGACCTGTAAATAATGATTGCTGCTCAAAATAGCACTTAATCACTCACCAGTGACTCTTCCTCTTTTTCTTTTTGGCTAGAGAGTTAAGACAATTTCTCAGGATGTAACCCAGATTGATCTTTAGCTGGAGATAGTCCCACCTCAACCTCCAAAGAGCTAGGATTACCAACTTGTGCTACCACACCCAACTTCTCTTGCTTACTGTATTCCTTTGAACTCGCATAACAACTTCATGAGATATTTTAAATACTGTTTTTTCAATAATAAAGCAAAATAAGAGAATGGAGTTTGCAAAGGAAAATGGTTGGTCAGGGAGGCAGATCTGAAGATATGAACCTGAGCAAAGCCCTATTTGATGTAAGGGAGTAAGATAACCAAAGTCAGAGACGTTCAATTTGGGCCTCACTGTAGATAAAAGGGACTGTTGACTAATTGGCTTGTGGAGAAAGCCGTCAGGATGGGGTTTGACTTTGAACTACCATGGAAAAGGGAAGAGCTGGGAGAAGCCAGTTGGTGCAGCCCTGAGGCAGCAACAGGATATGGCCCATCTCAGCTCTGTCAGTGAGGTGTGAGAAAGTAGGGCTGGCTGTGAACTGTGGTCCCTCAGGACAGAATCCTGCCTTGTAGGGTGTCACATGGAAACAGATGTCTGGTAGGAATGAAGACAGCATCCTTCCTGGGCAAGGGAGAGTGCCTTCTCCCTGGGGGAAGAGCCTGGGCTAGTGGGCAAATGGTACTGAACAGGAGACCCCAAGCCAAGCCAGTCTAACTCTGCTGCGACCACTCCTTCACATTGGAGGAGCTGAGACCCTATTTTGATGCTACAGGCCCCTGCCCTCTTTGTTTTGAAGGCCACATCACGTCATAGTAAGCATACTGAAATGTCCTTATGTCCCATAGTAAACATATACAGAATTTTTACCATAAAAACTTTCAAAGATACATCCATAATTGTGCTCTTGATATTACATACAATGGGTTGTTCATTCTAATTTCTGATTGGCTGTGATTTCTTGGGAATTAACCTCTACATGGCAATTCAAGCCAAGTGAGAAAAAAAAATCTCAGACTCTTTTCCAAGGCATTGGAATATTTATGATTCCTAGAGGGTGGACATACTATTATACTTTCTAGTTGTTTAAATAAACGTTTATTAATTCTGATTTGGATCTTCTTTGTAGGTTTTGCTTTTGTTTTTGTGTTGTTTTGTTGAGACAGGGTCTCCCTGTAGCCCTAGCTGGCCTGGAACTCACTATGTAAACAAGGCTGGCCTTGATCTCACAGAGATCCGCCTGCCTCTGCCTCCAAGTGCTGGGACTAAAGGTCTGTGTCACCACACCTGACTTCTTTGTAGGTTCTGAAGTCAATCCATTCCTGTTTTCTTTCTTTTGAGGGGAGGAGGGGGCCAAATTCTCTCTATAAAGCCCAGGTTGGCCTGGACCTTGTGATGCTCTTCCCTGCCTCCCAAGTGCTAGAATTAGAGGCACACACCACCACACACAAGCTGCCAGTTTTCTTTTTTTTAAATTTATTTATTATTAATTTTATTTTATGTGTATGAGTGTATTGCCTGCATGTATGTGAGTGCACCTGTGTCATACAATGCCATGGAGATCAGAAGGGGGCTTCAGATTCCCCTGGAATTGGAGTTAAGGATGGTTCGTAGCCACCATGTGGGTGCTGGGAATCAAACCCGAGTCCTCTGCAAGAGCAGTCAGTGCTCTTAACCTAAGCTAAGCCATCTCTTCAGCCCCCGCTGCCATTTTTCTTATACCACAATAGTTTGTTGGTCCCTCTAAAGCCTGCAGGCCAGGGCACTGGGCCTATAGTATCTAAGGGATAAATCTGAGCCAGGCCCAGATGGCAGCTCTCTAAGGAGGCTGAATTCACAGGCTAGTGCCCACAATGATCGTTTAAAGCACTGTCTCGCAGGGGCCCTGCAGAGTTCTGAACCTACTGAGCCACAGGACGCAGCCAAGCCTTCAGAATCAACTCCATTTCAATTTAATCTCACAGATCTCTCTGTCTGTACTCCACCCATTCTCTAAGGCCACTCTGGGAGGTTGCCGATTTCATGAACAAACCCGTTGCATCATCAAGAGCTCTAGCTTTATCTCCTCTCCAAACCTCTTCCTGCCTTCAATTTGGACACTTTTTACAGTTTATGTAAACTGTAAGCCTAACAAATGTAGCTTTAGTTTGTTTCCTCCATTTCAAATTGAATCACCCCCTCCCCCACAAATCTCCCTGGTGGTTCCTCATTTCTTGGAACTCTTCTTAAATAACATCTTAGTTTTAGTCCTTTTCTGTGATTATCACAGAATACTACAGGCTGAATAATTTATAAAGAATAAAGGTTTGGCCCATAGTTTATGAAATCTGGGAAGTTCAAGATTGGACAGGTATAGTAGATGAGCAATATTCCACTGTTGCTAGATGGGAAACTCACTGCATTGTTAATGCAGCCCAAGGCATCACACCCTGAGCTAGTCCTAGCTTGGGTCTCTCCTCTTTTTTTTTGGTCTTTTTGAGACAGGGTCTCCCTGTAGCTGCAGCTGGCCTGGATTCACTATGGAGACCAGGCTGGCCTTGAACTCATAGAGATCCACCTGCCTCTGCCTCCCGAGTGCTGGGATTAAAGGCGTGCACCACCACGCCCACCTTGGTCTCTCCTCCTCTAAAGATGCAGCCCTCATTGGATTAGGGGCCTACTCATGAATTATCCTCATTTAATTTAAATGCCTCGCAAAGGCCACCCTCCAAGCACCATTAACATATGACTATGAGGACTAAGTTTCTATTTGAGTTTTGGAGATAAGTGCCTAGCTCACAGCCAGTAAATAGCCTGTTGATGGTGCAGCACCTGAGCATTCTTAAGCACCAGTGTTCTGTAGTTAGGACCCAGCTTTACACAGTCTGTGTGTTTTCCTGTGTCTAGGTGTACTTGGTATCTGAGGGTCTATCCTCTGTGCCATGTGAGCCCCTGCCCCCTCGAGCCTACTGGAACCCAGTGACTGGGAGGAAGTGGTCAGCCCGGAAGGAAGTAGCCACTATTTACTAAAAAGGGGAAATTTGAGGAATGAACTTGTGGCACACTGCCAGGCCTTGGGCAAGCCCCAAAGAACACAGAGCCAGGGACTTATCTCCTGTTTCCCAGAGAGAGTGGGCATGCTCTGGAGAAGCCCCCAACCACGCACTGCCTTTATACCTGTCAGATCCCAGAGAGCCTGAGTTGACCAACATGTTCACCCAGGGGCTGGAGAGATGGCTCATTGGTTAAGAGCTCATTGGCTGCTGTTCCAGAGGACTTGGGTTCGGTTCCCAGCATGTACATGGCTATCCTTAACTCCAGTTCCAAGGGATTTAAGGCCTTCTAGCCTCCCACCATAGCGCACATGGTACAGCTATCTATACACAGGCAAAACACTCATACTCATAAAATGTAAATAAATATATAAATAAATACAATTTTGAAAGATACCCACCTACCACCTGCCACGAGAGACGTTCCCCATCCTGTGCAAAGTCTCTGTATTCTTTGGACCCCAGTTCCCACCTAAATATCCTGGAAATGGATGGCTGAATAATCTCCCAGACCCTGCTCCTTCCTGCTCTGCAACCTAACAGTGGCACGACACCTAGCTGGTGGGTGTAGGGGCATTGGTGGACTATGGTTGTCCCTCCGCAGGCTCATGGAGGCTCTGCTTGTTCACGTCTTTGTACTTAAAGCACCCTTGGCTACCTGTGGCCTTGGCTGCCCACTGCAGTTAGGACAACTACAGACACCGGCATCTTCCCTGTGTCCTGTTGGGGAAGCCGTTCTTACCACCACCCTACTCTGGCCAGGGTGGGGCAGCTCCTGTGGTCCTGGACCCACATGTTAGGTGTTGCAGCGGGTAGGGAGCATGGAGGTGGGAGAAGGGAGAACTTCTCTAGGGGAAAACCAGGACTCACACTGCTGACTCTGCTGTCTAGTGGGCCTCGTTTCCCTATCAAGCTGGTAGGCAAATCTACATGACTCATGGTACTTTATGAGTTCAAGGCCAGCCTGGTCCACACAGTAAGTTTCAGGTCAGCCAGGACTACATAATAAGACTCTGTCTTTAAAAAAAAAAAAAGCTGGGGCTGGAGGGATGGCTCAGCAGTTAAGAACACTGGTTGTTCTTGCAGAAGACCGGGGTTCAAATCCCAGCACCCACATGGCAGCTAACAACTGTCCATAACTCCAGTCCCAGGGGATCCGACAGCC